CTTTAGATATATTACTGATGCTTTTCTCAACACAATCACATATTTGTTCGTCCAATTACTATGGCTCGATATTGAAGTAATACAAATTTTATACAATTTTTTGGTCTTATTGTATTGTATGCCATCTTTTCTGATTCGATCCTACATACACGATTCTAAATAGAATACATACACAAAGATGATAAGTTACTGAATAAGAAAAACGTGTCTTTAGTCTGAATTTAACTCAAGTCTAGTCTCTTTTCAAAGTACTTTTCATAATCGTTTCTTTGCTATATCTTTCTCTCTCAGATTCTAGAAATCAACCGTATTTTACCTTCTTGCGTAGTTAATGAACCATCGGCAGAGATAGCAAATTTAGAAGAAAAAAAGAACAAAATCTCATTTCGTCAATTATTTTTTGTTTTTCATATAAAACTTTTAAATTTTCTTTTTTTCTTCAATAAGTTTGTCGTATATATTGTTGTTATTGTTTTATTGTCATTTGTGGATAACTTATTATCATCAACGGTAGATTTTCTTGCTGTTTTCTTTTCATCTTCATTCGATTTATTACTATGACTATTGTGGTTATGATGGTGATGATGATGTTTTACGGCTTTTTCTTGTTTACTAAAATATACAGTAATAAATTAATTTAAATAGACACAAGATTTTATTGTAAACTGTAAAATATATTTTATAATTGAGAACAGTATAAATTAAGCCTTTTGTAAAAAAATAATATTGAAAAAAGGTAAGGATAATTAGATGATTAAATATTGGCATTAAAATAAAATAGATCGCGTTTCTTTATCACTCGAGAGAGAAATTTTTCTTTTTAGAATAAAGTTTCAATTAGCTTACTCTGTTTTATTTTCTGTTGATATTATTGTTGATGTCTTTTGCTGTTTTTGACTCTTAACATTGCCCCTAATTGCTGATATTGATTCTGACTGTTGATGTTTTAATGGAGATAATTTTCGTTTTGTTCGAGGACTCATGGAACGTGACCTTAATCGTTTTGTTCGCTTTTGTGCTTCAGAATGGTATTCGTTTGTATGTTGTGTAGAGGATAATTGTAGTTCCATCGATGAGACGCGTGGAGCATCATCACGAACGCTAAAATGACATGAATATAGCTATTTATACTAATATAAATAATAACAGCATTATCTACACACCGTCTGAGAATAACAACAGCTCGTCTAGAAACAACATCACACGGTCGAATACAATGAGTAATTTCATTTGCCGCAAAACGACTGAAAAAGAAAGTAAACGGTAATAGATATTTATTTCCTTTTTTTTTGGCTCTTTATATACTCGATTGATGTTAAATAGCCACGTTTCAATGGTACAGAATGTACCGGTTTCGATACACGCATCGGTTTATAACGAAATTTACATCCAAATGATAATTGACAATTACTCAAAAATGAAATTGAGATTATTGGACGTTCAAAAATATGTGGAGGATCAATATGTGACGAAATACAGCCTCCAGGTCTTAAAAAAACATAAGTAAACAATTATTTTCTATCAATTAGCTAAACATAATAATACTACTTGTAATCATTGACTACTGCACTGTTAATCCAATTCTTTTTCACAATTCCTTTTTCTTCTAACGGTTCAATAATCATCTCAGTAATCCATTTTGGTATGGGATCGATTTCACCATCTGGATAAACTTTTTCGCTGCCCATTCCAGATCCATACGTGTAACCGTATCCAAAAAAATATTTACTACGTAACGGTGTTATATCAACTGTACATTTTTTGAATAAACCAGCATTACCATCATCAACTAATTCATTAATTTTTTTTTCGATAGCTACACACTGGTTATTATCAAAAAATTCCCTCTGCATAATACCTAGATGTAAAACACAGAAGTTAAAACAAGTTAAACAAATTAAACCAAGAAAAATAATCAAAGATATATAAACCAGTATAACTCAAGAAAGATCTATCTCAACATATTTGAATGCCTTCACCTTTACGATTCTCAATATTTTCTAGTAAATAATTATTTATTTTTTTGAAATGTTACAAAGATCAACAGAACAGATTTAGAGTTTCTTCATGTCAATGTCGGACGGTTGTGGTCAAAGTTTTTTTCTCAATAATGTCATCTATCTAATCTCTAGATGTCAAAAAGAAAATACTAGAAATATTTATGTTTTCTTTCTTTGTTTTCAGCAAGAAAAATCCATATATGATCTCATAACCACTTATTTCATTTCTAAAATGTGTAGTTCTTTTTGCTCTATAATTCTTATTTTATCCATGTTTAGATTTTTATGAATAAATATGTTTTAGAATAGTTTTATTGCGTTAGAAAAATGCAGACAAATATAAATGTTTTAAATAGTGAGGTAATGAAGTACAGAACTGCTATAAACATGATTAACTAAAGACTTTTGTGTTATTGCTATCTGCTATTTGCTACTAAGTTCTCTTGAAAAAAAACAATATCGTATGCTAGTAAAATGTAATAATGTTTCTCAGATACTCGATAATTGAGTGTAAACTCTTTTCTTGTAGGAGAAATCGAACAAAAATGATGCTTTTTTTGTACATCACCTCAACTCTTAATCTAACTGTATTGTAGCTTATGCTATTTCAAAGACGGTACACAACACGTGTGTGTCAGCAAATAAAAAATGTCTGTTTATTTTATGACACACTGCTGGTGTCGGTTCCCGATGAGGAACTGGAGCCGCGGTCCTTCATCGGGAATTGGAACCGCCCTACCGGTTCTGACAATGGAACCGGAACCGCGGCTTCTCAAACGGTTTGGTTCCGAGACTTTTTGACTTGCCTTTCATTTAATAAAATGAAAACTCACTATTGATAAAGCTACAAAAAGATATATTTGCCTGTCATCATTTAAAGGAAATCCTTTCGTTTGCTATAAAATGAATTCTATTTCATTGAATTGTTACTGCCTGAGAAATTATTTTCCGTTTCTAAGCTGAGAATCGAGAACCACAGTTCTGTTCTAAGTTCAGAACCGAAACCGCGGTTCCTTTCATTTCGGTTTTAAGTCGAGAAACGACAATTGAATATCTCTTCGTACAGACGCTACAAATTCGACTAATCAATTGACTATTATTTAGACTACAAAATACCTTCTCTTGTTTTTCTTGCAATTTCATTTCGTTGTTCACTGGTTAAATAATCATAATGAGATAAGAAATCATCAGACGACATTTGATGCTTTCAGTAGAAAAATATAATTTATAATAAATAAGTTGAATGCAAAAGTTTGTTGAATGATTATTGCATTGTTTTTATTCTATAATAGAAAATAAAAAACATAATATACAAGTAAACAAAACACATTCCTAAGATACAGGACCTTTTTGCACAAGAAAGAAAACACTTTTGTATTGTTCCGTTTTTACTTTTTTTAGAATGAAAATCGTAAAAAAACAAAAGTGAAAAAAAAGCACAAATGGATATTAAAAATCATTCATCATCATTTTCTAAATTGATACTTTTTCCAAATTTTCCATATAACTTCACTTTCAAATCACTTAGTAAACTTTTTATTGTTTGATATCGTTTTTGAATATTTTCAATTTCTAATTCAATTTTTTCTTTTCTTGTATTCAATGATTGTTGAATATCCTCTGTTGATTCAATTAAAAATGTTTCTCCTACTAAGAACGGTGCATCTTTAATATCACATAATATTGATAATTCTTCAAGAGCTTCTAATGAATCCTGAATATTTGTTAATTCTTTACGTTTTAATTCTAATTCATCTTTTAATTCGTTTAATTTACTATTATTTAAGGCAAATTTATTTATTGACGCTTGATCTTCATAATCCACATGAATTTCAACATCTCTTTGAATTGACATTCTCTTCTACAAAAAAGGACGAGAGAGCGAATGAGAACGTGGTCGAATTGTTATGAAAGCAAGAAAAAGTGTACACAGTAACATGTATATACTACTACAGCCTTTAACTTCTATGAACACACGAGCATACAAGACAATAGTATACATAGTACTAAGCCAAGGGATTTTTATTGTGCTTTTCTTTATTAATTTCTAATTCGGATTCACAGGGTCGTATTACAAAAAAACCTAAGTCTGACTTAAGTCTCTGTCACTAACTTAAGTCTTTGGACTTAAGTTTTACCGTATTACAAAAAAGTTTAAGTTACAGGGTGACTTAAGCCGTGGGAAATGTAGTCTTAAAGTTAAGACCGAAAACTTAAATCATTGATACATTCTTCGAATAGCTCAGGCATTTAACGACACAATTCGACGAAAACGACATTCTAAGGATTAGAGAATAAATATTTCGTTATTTTGCGGGTTTTTGTCCCAAGTTTGTCACTGTTGTCAACGACTTTTAAAAAGTAAACAAATCGCCAACTTAAGTTTTTTCGTGATACGACTCCCAGTACAGCTTCAAAAACAAAGCAGAAAATCTCACAGCTAAGCAAGAACACTTTAAGAATATTGGGTAAAAAAAGAATGTGGTCCGCTCTTTGCTAACATTCTGGGTGCGTCAGTAACGCAAAAATGAATAATAGTAACGCATGAAATGAAAAAAAATTCCAAAATGTTATATCTCAGAAACAGACCAGGAAAACATCTCAAGAATGTTATTAGATCTATTTAGTGATAAGATCAAATACCATGAAGCAGCACAACAAGACGGAGTATTTTTATTCTTCTGAGCATGTGAAGTGAATCAATTTTAGGAATTCAGCATGTTATTGCAAAGGCAAGAGTATTTGTTTTCATGCTTCACGCTACTTCAAGAATACAAAGGCGCTATCCAACTTTTTCTAAACTTGATGAGAGAAATAGCAAGCTCCTCCTGTACTGAAGAAAACAGAACGCGGGAGGATAAAAGGAGATCGATGCAAACCTCGCTTCAAAGCAGTCGAGAGAAGCGGCGCTTTCGTTTAAATGTAAATTTTAATATAAATTTAAAGGGCTTGAGTTCTTCAGACTAAGACTGTTTTATTCACGAAAAGTGAGAGTCATCAAAGGTTCCCGACCTGTAATAACTCAAGCCAAACAACACCAAAGAGAAATAAAAAAGAGAGAGTAATAAAAAATTTGAGAGTCAGTATGTTTAAGACTTAATCAAAAGAGGCAGAGAGGACAGGTTTATGTGTGTGTGACAGCACCGAACTCAAGGTAATCTTGCACATCACCAAATGATTCAAAGAATGATCATTAGTCCCTGTTTTCCTACTATAAAGAGTTTTTTCTTTCTAAAATAAAATGAATCAGACTAAATGAATTAATGGAGCATTATTACTATACGTGCAGCTGTATTGATATATTATATAACATAACAATCAACTCAAGTCTGCCGAAAAGTTATTGGAATAATATAAACAAACCAATCAGAACAAAAGACCAGTCATTAAAACATTTGTGCATATTACAGTTTTCCTGTGATATCCGATAATAAAGTCTTTTATTTGGTTTCGTTTTTGAATAGTCAACCATTTAGCACCGTATATGAATATCTGAACCCTCACAATTGCTATGTAAGAGTATATCTCTAAAATATGGCGGTGAACAACTCATAACTTCACTTAGTTTTTTTTCTGTTCTATTCTTATTTTGAAATATATTGTTAAGTAGTAGAAGTATAATAAGTGCACTTTTTGTAATTTTTTATCTGCTTCATTTATCTATTTTCTCTTGTTCTTTTCTTCACCGTTTTTTTATCTATTCTATTTTATCGTAATTCTTTGGATTTTAACTATCAGTGGAAGAAAATCAGGAAGAACAACTAAAATAACTATTTAGCTAAAGCGTTCCCTCAGGAAACTTTTGAGTATAATATATTAATTATTGCTTAGGCTAATTAATAGAATATTAGATTACCTATTCACATACAAATAAAAGGTAATTAAGTTAAGTACAAGTGCACAATACTGGTAAGATTATGATTCTTTGCTGTCGTATAGAAATTTAATTTAATTTTTCGTAGTCTTCACAGGCGATATCCGGATTCCGGACCGGAGTATAGAATATATTTCGAACGGGTTATCGAAGAAAATTCGGTATCCTGATCGGAATATTTTTACAAAATATTTCAGAAAAAATCATTAATCGCAAAAATTGTGACGTTATTGCAGAACAGTGATAATACCATAAGAAAGCGGATGAAAAACTGAGTCGGAATCCATGTTACTCTAGTCTTGATTCAAAAGTCTGCCGTGGTCTTTAGTCACTTGTCGTCATTGCATTTTTGTAAATTTCTAGATTTTGTGTTTTTGTTCATCTTGATTATGGAGATTATGTGTGGCTGAATAATTGTGAAAAGTCAAACAACTCTTCTTACAATAGCTTGATTATGTTATCTTTGTTCATTTTTCGCGCTTCACTGTAATTCATTGAACACTGTCAAAACTTTCCTTTCATCTGGCCGAATAGAGTATGTAATTCTCTTTTAAATAATGTATTTTTTTTTCAGCACTGTTTTGATAATAAATTTGGCCAAATATGAATAGTTGTCAAGATTTTTCGCAACCAGATGGTGTCAATAAAAGCACTGTTTTGACAAGTTTTTATTCGATAGATGGTTGAAGATATTTGAAGGAAGTGCAGTCGCTCGGTAAGCTCACTTTCATCTGATCTTTTACGCCCTTGCGAAACGGGGTCGTCGATTAAATTTCAGAATCTACTGTAAGACGTTTTTGGTGGAAGGAAGAAGTGAATTTTAATGAAGTTACTTTTTCTATTGAGTTTTCTTCATCCTTATAGATTCTAATAACTAAAAGCTGCATGTGTCTGTAGAGAACAATGAAACGAACGACCTTGTCTAAAAAAAATTGAAAAATATTACACTCTATCAGTAGTAATTAGTAATTTTAGAGAAAGAATACAATTTTATCACTATAAACAAATAAAAGATATCATATTTTGGTGCTTTTGTTGGATTCTCATAACCTCAAATTATAATTGAGATTTGTCGTTTAGAACGAGAAATGATGCTGTAGAAAAAAAACTTGAGACCTATTCATATTTTGCCAAATTTATAATCAAAACAATGCTGAAAAAGATTTCAAATACATTATTTGAAAGAGAGTTATATAAAGCCAGATAAAAGGAAAGTTTTGGCAGTGTTCAATGAATTACAGTAAAGCGCAAAAAATGAACAAAGGGAACGTAATCGCTCTACATGAGCATCAGTTTCTGAATGTCTCATTTGCATAACTCGATTCTTGTAGTGTTTGTTTCGTTAACAGACAGTCAGGTTTTATGTCTATGATTTATTTTGCTTTAATCTAAAGCAGAATTCCTTTTGGCACTTAGTAAATTTTGTACTGCTTTTTTATCATGTACATAAATTCGTTATTGATTAAAAACAGTTTTATACCATTCTGACTGACAGATTTAAGGAAATTTGATAAATAAAAGGTGACACTGAATGCCATTTGTCATGAATAGAAGAAAGAAACGTACTACTATCGGAATTAAACAAAATGATGCGATGTGTTTCTTTGCTTTTGTTTGAACAGAGAGAGTGTTGGAGAATAAAAAATCTTCTTTTTATTTCTGTTGATTTATGAATATAAGAGTTAATGCGAGAAAGTCAATTATAAAATAATCAAATAAAATGAATCTCCACTGTTTGATTTACCAGCATAAAACAACGATTTAAATATTTAATTCAACGAAGAAGAACCACATATGTAGTTAGTTACTGTGTTGATTTTAGAGACAGATTCTCATCGTGAATTTAACGCTTTTAAGGGTACCCCATCCTGTTTTTTGACCCTCTCGGAAACCGGGGTAGCCGATGTCGGATCGGGTTGAAATTTATACCAGAGATAAAACATCGAAAAGTCAGTAGAAGAACACGTCAGAAAATTCTGGGCAAAAATACATCGATTTTCTTTTTCGATGGTTCTACCTCTGGTATAAACTTCAGGCTGATCCGACATCGGCTTCCCCGGTTTCCAAAAAAAGAGGGGAAGGGGTACCCTTAGGAAGAACAGGCTTTTTCGAGTTAAGACAATAGAAAAATCATGCTATTAATTTTGGTCATGGAATTTCGAATAGGTGGATCGTGTAAAACTTATCATCATTACACCGATCTTTAGCGTGAGTGTCTGCATCTAGCATATGTTATAAAACTTCAGAATGATGAAGCCGTAGATGTGTAACAGAGCTTCTAATTGGGCCAATTTTTGATGGCTCGACCGGGCCGAGTCCCCGGATCGGGCGGATCAATAGGAGCTCTGATGTGTAGCTATTACGAGAGCTAAGAAATATTTTTGCCTAACTTCCAACGCTTACTTTCTTTTTATTTTTAAGTGAATCGTTTGTGCGATTCTTTTGATGTTTGAACAAATTTTCACACGACTCTAGTTTTCTAGAATTATATAGAAAAACTACAACTTATTATCATTACACCGCAAATTTGATGTAGTGATTTCGAATAGATCAATAAAACCAAAATATTTCTTTGAAAACTTTTGTTATATATTAAAGAACTGGTGTGAGTGTAGAAAATCACTTGTCATGTGAAAACCATCTTCGATTTTATCATATTCTTTTCTTTTGCGTTCTTTACTTTTCTCAAGTTTATCTTTAATTAAGATGCCGGTATGTGCTATACAAATTCTAATAATATGTTTCTAACGAGTGTCTCAGATGAAAGTGCATTAAATCTTGGTGCATTTTTCTCTCATTTCCTATTTATAAAAAATATTCTGTTATATACCAAACGAGAGATAATTTAATTCTCTACAAGATTGTATATTTATTTTTAAGATTCATCTTTGATGTTTGGCACAGCAATTCTAACAAGAGAGACTCCAAATTTTTTAACTGCATCCTCAAATAATCGATTTTTTGCGCAAAATTTCGCTAAGAATCACTTATTATAAAAACAAGGTATACCGAAAAATTCAGCAAGAAATTTTCTACAATATGATGGTTTTTTTAATGAGAAATAATGATTTTTTAGATGAAATTGGAGCGAAAAAGAGTCTTTGAAAAAGATCATTTTCTGCTATTTTTCGGCCATCTTAGCGACATCCAGTATTTCCTAGGTTTTCAGGTAAAAAAAGTAACAGGTTTATTTGTAAGTTACACAGTCTAATAGAGCGCGAAATTCTGCATTTTTTGGTCTATAAACTAATAATTTGAACCTTTGATTTTATACTGGAATAGTCAAAACATTTTTTTAGTACTATAAATTTCGGTGGACTTGGAAGTTTACGTATTAGAGCCACTAGCGATTAAAATAAATTAATTTCAAGTAAACTACTTATTATAAACAATTAAAAAAGAGAGCAGTTTGCACTTTAAAACTATGTGTTGCAGTTAAAAAATGTGGAGCCTCTCTTGTTAGAGTTACTGTGCCAGACATCAAAGATGAATCTTAAAAATAAATATACAATCTTGTAGAAAATTAAGTTATCTCTCGTTTGCTGTATAACGGAATACTTTTTATAAATAGAAAATGAGAGAAAAATGCACCAAGATTTAGTGCAATTTCACCTGGGACACCCGTTATTTGTTTTTTGAAGTTTATTTATAGTACGTTTGAAACAGTATTTGAAAAGTTTTCCATTATTCATGTCCTCGATAGGAACGAACACCGAAATTAGTAGAAGCCAGTCAGTGTGGAGATGGGACGAAAGACTACCGACATATTTATAAGAAATGAACATGTTCTTTGCAGACCATATCTTTTTATTTTCTCATTTCGTTCGACTTTTGGAGTAACAGAAAGACTTGTTTTTATGATAATTAATAAAAAAAAGAACATATTGTAGAGTAGTCTGTTTCTTTTTCCACGTAAAGAACATGTCGCAATCCGTTTATATTTTCGTAATACGTATCGCAAGAAAGAGAATGAAGATGATGGACGACATGTCGTTAAGGAAATTGAACTATGTGATGTCGTGTGTAAAGAAAAAGGAAACGAATAAAGTTTACATTTTTTATCTCGAAAAAGATTTTTTTCAGATTAATTCAGATTACCGTGATTAGAAAGGCAAGAGCATCGAAATTCAAAATCTCCTTTTTTTTCTGGAAATTTTTGTACGAAAGTCGTAATAGTACGCCTCCCATAATACAAGCCCCTTCTGAAAATTTTGAACGCTTGGGCAGTTTAGAAGCCCCGGAGGCTTCTATTATGGGGGAGTACCAGAAAGATCAGATTGAGTATAATTTTATCTGTTCTAGATTTCTTCTTTAATTTACTTCTCGTTCATTGGCATCTATTCTTAATGATGTCATCTGAAATTAAAATTGGCAAACCAGCGCCAGATTTCAAAGCTAATTCAGTCGTCGATGGCCAGTTTAAAGATGTTCAGTTGAAAGATTATAAAGGGAAATATTTAGTATTATTTTTCTATCCATTAGATTTTACATTTGGTAAAATAGAAAAAAAAATTAATGTAAAATGTTAAAAATTTTTAGTTGATATTGTTTAGTTTGTCCAACTGAAATTATATCATTCAGCGATCGTATTGAAGAATTCCGTCAATTAAATTGTGAAGTTGTAGCTTGTTCAACTGATAGTCATTTTAGTCATTTAGCATGGTAAATAGTCATCAAACTGATTCTAGTAAAGTTAATTCGCCGCTGAAAATCAATTGCTTTATGCTGTTTGTTCAGGGTAAATACATCTCGAAAACAAGGAGGTTTGGGTAAAATGAATATACCATTGATGGCTGATAAAAATATGGAAATTGCAATTAAATATGTACAACTATAATAAATTGATTCAAACAAATGTGATAGTCATTTCTTTTTCTCTCTAGGGCGTATTAAAAGATGATGACGGAATAGCATTTCGGTATGTTATTGAAAGATATGTTTTGAATACTTCAGTGCTGTTTCTGTTTCAGTGGTCTTTTCATCATTGATGCGAACGGTATATTGAGACAAATAACAGTTAACGATTTGTAAGTACGACTTTAAATCAGAAGCGATAGAATCTATCCATGTAATTTATAATTATTGCTGTTCTTTTTTACAGACCAGTCGGACGTTCAGTTGACGAAACATTACGTTTAGTTCAAGCATTTCGTGAGTGCTTCGCGTTTGTTAATTAGGCGATTAGTTCTATGATCAAGATAGCTTGTAGTTTGCGTTTTTATCTTATACTTCATACTAATGCCGGTATACCAGTCGGCGTTATAATTCGTACCGATATCGGTTGCATCTCTGATATAAATCAATTTTTCTGTAAAAAAATGTGTGTAATTTGTTTTAGAATTTGCCGATAAACATGGTGAAGGTAAGAATGTTTAGTAACTATTCAAATTGTTAATTCTAAAAGTTTTCTATTCTTTTATTTAGTTTGTCCGGCAAATTGGAAGCCAGGCAAGAAAACAATTAATCCCGATGTATCAAAATCAAAAGAATATTTCGAACATGCAAATTAATCTCATTTTTCTCTCTCAATCTGCCAGATTGTGTAGTGATCTCATATGAAATCTCAAGGTTTTTTTCTCTTTGAAACAATTTTGTTCTAAGCATTTTATAGAGTATATTCTCCCCGGTTATTGTTTTTTATTCGTTTATTTGTTGTTCTTATTTGTTGATGACATTCCATAATAGGTATTCTATTTGAGAAAAAGAGAATGTTTTCATGGTCAGGTGGATTTTTTTGTTGTTTTACCTTCTCATTATATTAGACATAAATAGAGTAATCGAATAAAAAAAGGTGGTAATGGAAACCGAAAATTGGGGAGAAACTAATATTATAGTTCTATTTACTCTTGTACGATGCTTGAACGTATTAATGGAAAGCACTAAGTAGTGATCAATATTTTCAACGGTGAACGGTCTTTGCGATCTCTAACTTGTGATACCAGATATTTAGGAGAGAAAAGATCATGAGGTCATACGAAAGACAAGTTCACATGCCTACCTGAATTATT